CCATCGCAATGCCCCAGGCAAGACTACGGCACTGTAGGTAGTGTCCAATCTCGCCCAGACAACCTTCGCAGCCGAAGGTGCACTTTCTTTGCCCCGAAGAAGACGAGATGCGTCTGGAAGTGAGCCAGCCACCCACGAAGCCGCGTAAGATCGAGGACGTCCATGCCATAGGGTATCCGCGAAGCCTCTTGCGCAGCCGAGTCCAATCAATCATGTCCAACTGCATCGCCAAGGACGGAAACCATTTGACCCACCGCCTAGAGATGGTGTCAACCAAAGGCGGAGGATCGTCCCCAGGAGTGCTGGATCTGGACAAGAAGGCGGCCATGCTGGCGTTGTATGCTACCCGTTGGACGCCTTTAGCCGCAGTGGGATGCTCAGCCAGGAACGCCCGAACAGCCACCGCCGCAGGCGAGGGGGATGAACGCGCAGCGTCCAGCGTCTCCACGATGGCGGGCATGATCCAGAACGACGGTGAGAGGCGGCCAGTAAGATCAATCAGTCGACGATGATCAAACCACCGCTCCGACGCACGCCGAAGAAGTCGGAGATAGTCATTGTGCTCAGGATGCGTGGATAGCCCAGAGCGAATGAGCGCAGCCTCTGCCATCGAGACAATATTTTGTAGTTTCGGCCCACCCCATACCTTCAGCGCAAAGAAACCGACCAGCACCACTGCACCGCCAGGAAAGCGGAGGAGGCGAACCAGAACATCAATGTCGAACTTGCGGATGGCTTCTGGGAACGCGAAGAATTGTGCAACATAGCTCAGCGTCGGTACTGCACCAATCACATAGTTCAGAGCATTCAGCGACAGCGGCGCAGACGAAGCGGCCAACGCACCGACGCGCATCTTGTATTTGGCCCATGGTCGAGTCCAAGAGCTCATAGGTACTGCAGCAGGCCCGAGCCAGACGCCCAAGTGCAGCAGGATGGCCTCAACCTTAAACGCCGCCCACCCAGGGACATGCTGTTGAAGAAAACCAAGTGTCTTGGCCTGGATGGTCTCAGAGAAGGCGTCGGCGAGAGGCACCAGAACACACTTGGGAGGTTTCAATTTGAGATTGGCCAACTTCTCTGCCACCGCCATCACCCGAGCCAACAATTTAAGGTCTAGCATATCAAATACAATGCCTCCAATATCGTCGGCACATGCACGAAACGCGCCACGAGCTGGAACTTCAATGCCACGCCTGATGTCTTCCAAGAATGGCGACGTTGCCGCTGCAAACAGGCTACCACTCAGCGCACATCCCTGAATAATTCCACAACGTATACGGAAAAGCGGCTTGGCAATCCCATCCGCACGCCCGACAGCAGTCACAACTGAGCACAAGCCGCGAATAGCAGCATGAAGACCGCACGGGAAGCAAAGACGATTCAAGACCGCGAAGAGAAACTCTTGACTCGAGGACGGGAATGCCTGGCCGAAACCGAGCGCGACAAGCAACGGGTTCCCCTCGAGCACCGCGGGCTGCAGTGATGCAAACCGTGCCATCATGTCGAGCTCCAGGATGTTGGAAGTAAGCTGTCGTCCTGCAATGAAGCCCCTCTGCGAGACGGACGTCGTCCGCTGTGTGATAGGGGCAATGGCCTGATTGAATGTGGCCGAAATGACCTTCATGTCAGTGTTCCGCAGCCCGAGTGTCCTCACCGTATCAGGTGTACGCATAACTCCTCTGCTGTCGTCATCTCCCACTTGACTACCTTTGGGAAGAAAAGCCTGAAACGTGTCACCAGTGCTGGAAAAGAGAAGTTGTCCATCCATCAGCCACATGCAGGCGTCCCACAGCACGTCGCCACCCATCGGATGCGCCGCCCATGCGGAGTAAGGCAGGCCGTCAACACCCGGGGCTGACGAAGATGGCGCGAGCCGTCGCAGAACTCGACCAAGCAACGGACGAGAGGGCGAAGGAATATCTTCATAGTGGCCAGGCTGCACGAATTTGCCGACGTAAACTCGCATAGCATTGGGGAACACTGCAGGTGGCGCAGACACAGGAGCCCAGTAAGCTGCTAATGCGTCCAACTTGGCCATCGGATCTGTGTGTGCGCAGTTGTTCACGGAGATGGCCCGAAGTGTCAGCCTCTTTCCAAACGGCGCCCACAGGCGCGCCTTGCGAGACTTCGCAGAAAGGACCCCTCGGAAGGCCGAGCGCGCCCAACTGCATGAAGTGCTGCGTGCTGAAGCTCGTCAAGCTCATGGTCAGCAGCTGCACGCTGAACTGCGTCTACCCAAGCCGAGAAAACAGCTGGCTGGACCAGTCGCACCTGCTGCCCAATAATCTCAATACAGTCACGAGCCGTCTCCGATGCATTACAAACACGCGTGGCCAACCAAGCGTCTTGACGCCAGACAGCCCTCGCCAGTTGTCGCGCGAACATCCTCTGTGCCTCACGGGATCCAGGACCGTCGACCAGCAACTGATTGAGTGAGTCAAGAGCTGCCGCATTGACTAACTCCTTATAGCGTTCCATCTGACGTGGGGGGGAGAGAGACAAGAAGGCGAGCCGTTCATAATCGAGAAGCCGCCCAAGCCGTTCGCAGAAACCGGCAGACTTGTAGACGGCAGTGGGCACTGTTTTAACGTACTTCTTGCGCTGGCTCCTATTGCTGAGCGTAGCCCTGACAGCAACATGATCAGAAACCTCACGACCAGACAACTCTTCAGGCGTAGAGGTAGCCGTCCCAGAGTGTTGAATTTGACGCGCAACCCACCCAGGTTCAGAAATCCAAACACGATCGACCTGCGCCACCGTCGAGGAGTCCCTGCAGAAGTGAGCGGGGTCCTCTGAGGCAACCTCGACGGACTGCGAGAGTACTGAGAGCCAGAGCTTCATATGTGTTCTGGCATTGGTGGTGACCCTGACGTCTCGCGCTTGGGCAGGATCAGCTAGGCCCAGGGCCTCGTGCGCAGAAAAGTTGAAATCCCCACAGACCACAACCATTCTTGAAGACGGAGCCGCTGCAGCCCAAGCATCGTTTTCCTGAATACGTTGCGTAACTTGTAGCAGTCTCCTCGCTCCAGTCCGTGATTGTGAACATTGTAATGTCGGAGTTCAACTTGCCCACAACGAAGAACCAAGCGCAAAACACGTCCAGGGATAAGATCAAACGGAACAGCGACAACATCCACACCCTGCGCGAGCGGGACAACCGTCGCCACGCCACCACGCCTGCGGCCATCACTCTCCAGTTCAAATGAATCAAAAACTGAGGACGATGGCGCAATCCTCGACATGGCGAACTGGAACTCTGCCAACGTTTGGTGCACCTCTTGAATGGCAAAGATGGCATTCGTGATGCCCGCTTGATGAAGGTAGTTGGCTTTGGCAATGGCATGAACCCTGCGCCACCTCAAGAAGGCTCTAGCATTTGACCTTTCTTCGGCGCCATTCCACCTTCAACGCCTGGGAGAAAAAGGTCGTCGTACTGGCTAAAGACTCCATTCGGGCTCGCCGTTGGGGGTGATGATGTGGGTGATGGCAGCCTTGATCTCGTCCCTGGCCCACCCCCTCGTAGCAAGAGCAGCATCATTCCAAAAACATTTTGTGGCCTCCTGCCCTGGCTGCGGTTCAAGACGAAGAATCGGGTTCCAGCTTTCAGAGATCCATCCATTCTGGCGATCGAAGAACAGCTTTGCATCGGGGTACTTCTCTCGTAATGCGGCCGTGATATTCTTCCCAACAATCTCGCGCTTGATCTGGAACGGTTTCTTGTCGGCACCGACGTGCAGCTGCGTGGACCCTCCAGAAGCGGCAGGAACGGGAAATCGCATCCAGTTGCCTTTGCCAGGCAGTCGCAGTGCACCAAGGGCCTGCACCGCGCGCCGACCAGCGACAGCGACAGGGCCTGTGAACTGCAGCGTGAACAGCCGATCTTGTTCTTCTCCCTGTACTTCCCACCCTTCAATTTTGGACTTGTCCAGCCAGGCCTTGATGGAGTCGTGGACATCCTTACGCTTGGCCATAGAGGAAGCCACAATCTTGAGCACCGTCGCATCCACCTCTCTGTGAAATCCAGCTGCTGGAGGCTTGGGCAGTGGCGGGGCACGATGTGCGAGCGCCAAGGCGTTGCGCAGCTCATCCATTTGCTTGTGCATGCCCCCAAGCTCATCATGCATCTTCTCAGTGCGTGAATCCAGGCCGGAGACTCAGGCAATGAGACCGTCAAGCTGCGTCTGGAACCGCCGCTCCATCGCGGCCAGCTCGCGGCGAAGCGAGGCCTCCACCTTCTGCTGGCACGTGGCTGGAACGTTCTTGACGGCATCCTCCACAGCACGGATTGCGGCCATGACAGGGTCGACAGCCTGCGAGGCAGCCGCGGACGTTGTCGAGGCGACCATTCCAGTGATCTCATTCTTGAAAGAGGCGAAGGTGCTACGGAGGTGGCCATCGATGAGGCCCTTGACATGGTCGTCCCACCCGCTGGGGTCCATGTCTGGATCATTCTCTTCATCAGGGCCGCATCTGCTGGAACGGGACCTTTCGTCGGCACGACCATCACCTGCTTCAGCACCGTCATCAACAGCACGAGCCCCACTGCCACGAGCGTCACCAGTGAACTTCTTCTTCTTTCGCCGTCCACCAGGAGCAGAGGGCGCCATGAGCCACGAGCGCCGCGCACGGGCGGAGGGGCAGCGCGCGTGGCGGAAACTGGCCGCGGACTAGCGGTATCCATTCCCTGCTTGCGCAAAGCAGGCATCTTGAGCCAAAATGGCTACGGAAGGAGGAGGAGGAGGAGGAGGAGGAGGAGGAGGTTCAGAAGGAGGAGGAGGAGGTGGAGGAGGAAGCAGAGGGCGAAGAGGAGCCGGGCAAGGCCGTCGAGGCCCCGGGCCGGGGAGCGCCGAGGAGGAGAAGGCAGTGGGCAAGGAGCCGACAGGAGGAGGAGGAGGAGGAGGAGGAGGAGGAGGAGGAGGAGGAGGAGCAGGAGCAGGAGCAGGAGGAGGAGGCGGTGGAGGACGAGGGGAATGGAGAAGGAGTGGAGGCCACGACGGCGCCTGCCGCTTCTCCCTCTCGCATCTCGCGTGGAGGACCGCGGGGCTCTCGCCGTACTTGGCGCACACCTCGTGGAGCAGCTCCCGCTCGCGCCCTCTTGCGGGGGAGCGGTCGGGGGAGACGTCGAACGCTGGGATCGGCGATCGATTTAAATTGGGCGTGCCCCCCTACAGGGGGGATTTTGGGCGAAAAACAACGGATACTCAAAAAATACCCCCCAAATGGCAAAAATAGTCAAAACATCGCCGCCAGACTAATTTTTGACTATTCTTGGATATTCCTCCTGTAGAGGGATAGGACCGACTTAACGATAGATCGCCGACAGATCGGTGAGATGGGCCCCCTCTGGCAAAGCCGCACGTTGGGTAACAAACAATTTCATAAGCATGAACTGTCTGAGGTCCGCGGGTCTTTGTTTTGGATCTGCGCTGTGGCCCCCTGGCGGCGCCTTCGGCACAGCCCCTGGCGCGGTCCGCGCTCCAGGGAGCGGGGTCTGGCGCCTATCCAAGAAATCCGCGCGGAACTCCGAAGGTGTTTCGTTTCTGTCGTGGTTTGTTCCCCGAGAACCGCCCTGGGCGGGATGGGCAATCGGGCACATCTTGGTGATGCATGGGCGTTCGGGGGTCGATGAATTCCCCCTAAGCCCATTCTCCCCTGAAAATGCCCATGACCTTTGTACTTCACCAGAAGGCGCCCCATGTCCGACAGCTTCTTCGCGTTGTGCCGCAGGTACACGTTCTGGACGAGGGTGGCGTACCTGGGAGGGCGCCCGCTATACGCTCAAATCGCCGCCGCCATGGTTTCTTCAGTCCTGGCGCTCTCCCTAGTTTTAGGCGTCGGGGGCCTGCGATCGGGCCCCAGGACCATCAAAAGCGCTTCGGCGACGCAAGACTGCCCCTGGGGAGTGTGTAGGGATCTCTGGGGCCGCAGATGAAAACGCACGATTCGGGTCAGGCGAAAGGGGGGGATAGCAAAGGGGAGGTTTGAGAATCAGCTCACGTAGCTGATCTTCCTGGCGCCGGAGGCGGTTATGTAACGAGGAATGGGCCCCTCGGTGGGGCCGAAACCGGCTGCATGCAGCAAATTTCGTACCCCCCCCTTTCCCAATTCCCCCCCTTTCGTCCGGCCCGAACGATGGCTCGGACCTCTGGGTCTGCATCTGCCCGCACCGATCCTCGCCGGGCCCATCCACCAGCCCCAGGATGGGTGCCTGCGCCCTGCTGGACGCCCAACCTCGCGTGGCCAGGGGGACCTGTGGACCGATCCTGGCGCCGGGGATCGGCGTGGCCAGGATCGGTGCGGGCGTCTGGCCGGCGCCCTCCGAGTACTCCCGCGCCGTCAGCTCGGGACACTCCGCTCCGGCGAGGTGGGCGTACTCCTCCTCCTCTTCCTCGCCGCCCGGGGGCTGTTCCTCGGCGGCCTTCGCCGCGGCCTCGGCGGCGGCGAACTCGTCCGCGTCGACCTGGTACTTCTCGCAGACCATGCTGAAGAGCTCGTGCTCCGTGCCTTCGTACCTCCGATGCTGGGTTTGGGTACCCTTCTGGAGCAGCTCGCTCCACCCATGCATCGATGCTGCGTCGAACGTCCGTCGGCTCGAGCCGAATTCGAGTCGAGCTCAAGTGAAGCTTGAGTCGAACCATAGTCGAGCTAGAGCCGAACAGATCCGTCAGCTGGGCCCCAGGAAAGGTTCTCAAACGGACATCTGACGCACCTGTCCAAGATCGCGGGGAGGTCGGGCAACTTGCCTGGGTTCTTCTGCTCGTACACGCGGCGCACGAGCGTCTTGTACTGCTCCGCGCTCAGCCGGGCGTCGTCGGCCGCCTGCTCCGTCTTCACCGCCGCCGCGTCGGGGCGGACGGTTCCTTCCAGCACCGTGCACGCGACCTCCGCCCTCCTCCACTCGCGGCCGTGGGCCTCCATCCACACGCCCGCACTCCTCGTGGAGGAGGGGGTGGGAGGGCAACGTTGGGGTGGTTTGGCCCAGGGGAGGGGAAACATCGAGCTGGACTCTGCGACGCGTAGCCGACAGATCGGCGATGGTCGGCGATGGGACTCCGAAGGCGAGTCCGCCCGAACCGTTCCTGGGCGGGGGTGAACGGACTGGCAAGCTCTCCAAGAGGGGTGAAGCCACAGACACGAAGCGCCCAAAATCAGGTGGAGGAGGCGTGCGTCTATCGGAGAAGGGCGAGTTGAGACAACGGCAGCTCAAATCGGTCCCCAGACCCCTCTGCTGGTCCAAACGCATAAGTTGTTCGAGCTGCGTCAAGCCCTGGTGACGAGGGACCCCCCCGAAGGCCAACTACCTCTGTCTGAACTCGCGCTCCTCTGAGTCTGGACCCCAGTGCTCCTCGTGAAGTGCTGCGAGTCCGTCCTGAAGGCCCAGCCTGGGGGGTCCCCAGCCTTCGCCTGGGGCAGGCTGACCAGGTCGCACACGGCCCACCTCGCGGATTCTCTGAGATCCGCCAGCGCGGAGGCCCCTGCGCCCACCGTGCGTGAGGGCCCCTGGAAATCTGCAGGGGCCCCCCACCCCCCTCTTGGAGGTCCGCTTCGACCTGCCGAACTGCACATGGACGGGACCTTTTCCACAGACGGACTGCGATCTCTAGATCGCTCAACCATCGATCTACCGACCTGCATCCGCTCAAGACTTACTTGCGTGGACAGTCTGGCCTAAAAGAGATTACGATGCTTTTCCGTAGACGGACGGCGATCTCTCGATCGCTCAACTGTCGATCTACCGAACTATATCCGTTCCGGACCTACTTGCGTGGACAGCCTGGCCCAACATAGATTCTGATGGTTCGAGGTGGGCCTCCAAGCCTGGAGTCCTCCCACATGGGGCCTGGGCAATTACGGTCGGAGGATCGCGCCGCATCGGTGATGCATCGCCGACGCATGGGCGATGCATCGGCGCGTCGGCGATGGTTCGGCGACGTCGTCGGCGTGGAACAAGTTGGGCTCCACATCGAGCCGCATCGCCGATGCATCGGCGATGCGGCGCGATTCTCTGACCCCGTTTACTCTGACCCCATCCAAGTGGCTTCGAAGACAAACGCATCGGTTTTTATCAAACTAAATTCTGCGGCACCGAATTCGCATAAAACGGCAAGGCCGCAAACCGGCTGCGACAGTTGGCAGTGAGCCAGAACCCTATTCGTCGCCATTTAGTTTTTCTTGCTCAGGAATGCTGTATCCTGGGTGAATAATCGTGTCGTGTCGTCTCTAAGAATTCGTGGACTCTTTATGCATTGCCTATTTTCGCTCCCCGACCGCGGGGGTAGGAAGACTTGCGCAAGGAGTGTAGAACCCGCCCGCTCTGCGAATCCTCCACATCGTCAATGCCTGCGCGGCGTATCGCGACCCAAAGTTGCGCTCCAGACAACTGCATGCGACCGATCCCGTGGACAGCTGCGAGTTTGCCTGTTCGGAACGTTTCCGCTCGGTCAACTGCAAGGGAGGGGGGCATCGCATGGAAAGCAAGGAGGGGCGAGAAGGGGAGAACAAGGGGAACGGTGGGGATTGGAGGAACGGGGGGACTAGAGTTACGATGGGATCTGCGTCTAAGACTTTGAATTATTTGGGTAAGGCAACTGTTGAAACAATTGTTGGAAACCCCGTGGTGCTGGCAAAGTGGTTGGGGAAGTGATTGGGAATTCGTTATATGTCGGTTGAGTTGTTGGGTTCCCCATCACTCGCAACACGCGTGTTGGTTAACCTGTTGGGGTTCGCTGTGCATATTGGCAAAATGATGGGGAGCCCTGTATGTGTCGGCGGAGTTATGTGGTAAAAAAATGAGGTTCCTTGCGTTGGAACAGTTGATTGGGCATCTTGCATGACTTGTGGGTACTGTTGCGGCAGATGTTTGCTTGATGTTGATATTTTGTAGCGACGTGGCCAGGGCGCCGCGCGTGCTGATCGCATTGGCGAAAAAGGGTTGGGCGCGTGGTGATTGCTGAACGCGCTGGGGAACAAGTTGGCAGAACATTGACAGCTAATGTGCCACTTGGGTTCGGGGTGCATCGCTACGTTCGGGCGCTTGGGACTTGGGGCTCTCGATGCAGCGCGGACCTTCCTCAAGACTGCCAAAAAGACACTCGGGGTCCGGGCGACGCGATACGGGATCCCAGCCTGGTTGGCTTGCTTTTTGTCCCATGGCTGTTTTGCTGCGCCCACCAGAGATTGCGCAGCCGTACTGCATTTTGCTGTATTTGGTTTTTGGTTTTGTGCTGCGGTGTCTGCCCCGCAGTAGCGGCACGCTGCACTGTTTGTACTTTCCGCACAACCAAACGCTCACCACCCTCTCCCGCGTTCCCCTCCGGGCCCCTGGCCGCCCACCCCCCTCCCAGCTTGACCTTCTCCCTCGGACTCTGACTTGGACTCCTCGTTCGACTCGGCCACCCCGCCCCTCCTCATCCTCGTCGCCGTTGCCCTCTGTGCACCCATTGGCACGTGGCTTGGGCGCCGTCCTTCTCGACCACCCTCTGGCTCCTGGTCATCCCCCTCCTCCTCATCCTCCGCTCTTCTCCGTTATCCTCCTCCCCTTCCTCTTCCTCCTCCTCCTCTTCCTCCTCTTGTTCGCTCCCCTACTCCTGCCGCCTGCCTCTTGACTAGTGCATCATATTCTGCACCGTCGCCGTCTATTGCCACCTCGCCCTTTCTCCCTCACTCCTTTTCGCCCCTATCTTCTGTGAAAAGCAACTGGAAAAGGAAACAGGTGACGGGGGGAGGAGGAGGAGGAGGAGGAGGAGGAGGAGGAGGAGGAGGAGGACGACGAAGAGGAGGATGAGGAGGAAGGAGGGCCAGTGTAAACCCAAGAGTCATCAACAATGTTGGAATTAACCCTCCCTCCAAGCTCCCTCTTCATATGCCCCATACAACGGTTCATTTCCATTGAGGGAACTGCCTCGTTGGAAGACAACCGTTTGAAGATCCTGAAGCATGCCAAATCATTGTTCTCGGGGTTTCAACGCCACGCATCAACCTGACTGGTGCGTTTTGGCCATCCGGGATCGTGCCATAACGCCATTTTCTAAACAATTCAACACAGCGAGCCAACACAATTGTTACACCTGCATAATCCTGAATCCTTCCCGAACGCCATTTTTGGTACGTTGATCATGGGGATCCATGCAACTCTTGCATTTTATGCAACGAATCTGCGTGGCGCTAATATGGGCTAAGGCAAGAACCACATTTGCAAAAGGAGCCACCGTCAATCCGTGAAGCTCTTGCTATTCTTTACAAAGGGTGTGCGCGGCGTTACGGCAAGAGCCACATCTTGAAAACCACCCGCCCTCCATCCGTGAAGCTCTTGCATGTTTTACAAAGGATGTGCGCGGCGCTAAAGCGAGAGCCGCATTTTGAAAACCATCCGCCCTCAATCCGTGAAGCTCTTGTAATGTTTTCCAAAGAGTGTGCGCGGCGTTAACGCGAGAACCACATTTTGAAAACCGTCCGCCCTCAATCCGTGAAGCTCTTGCAATTTCTGAAAACGAATGTGCACGGCGCAAAAGCGAGAGCCACATTTTGAAAACGACCTGCCCTCAATCTGTGAAGCTCTTGCAAATTTTGAAAACGAATTTGCGCGGCGCTAATGCGAGAGCCACATTTTGACCCCCCTCCCCCGCACTCCATCTGTGAAACTGTTGTCACTTTTGAAGCTTCAGAGTCATAAGTGGTGAGGAAGTCTCAGGCGAAACGCCCGGCCCGCCCTAAAAACTGGCCTCGGGGTGCGACAGGGAGGAGTTATCTATAAGGAGAAGGAATGGAGGAGGAGGAGGAAGAGGAAGAGGAGGAGAAGGTGGGGAGAAGGAGGAGGAGGAGGAGGGGGAGGAGGAGGAGGAGACGGAGGGGGAGGAGAAGGGTCAGAGACGCGGGACAAGGGCGCGGGGGGGCGATACACGAAGACGAGGAAGAGGGTGAGGGGCTGCAGTGAACGCTGCCTTGGATGATTGGAAGGGTGCCCGACACCGATCCGGCCCTGAGGTTACGATTGGTTGAGATCCTCGAGCTGCAACCCATCATCTCACATCCAACAAGCCAATTAACCGCATCCAACTGGCCCGCTAGCAACTTCCCAGCACACCATTTCCATTCAGATTTCTTCAACTCCCAACTTGAATTTCAAGTATTTCTTTCTTCAACGCCCAACTCTAACTTCAACTCTTCCTTCAACGTGCAACTCGAAATTCAACGTTTTCCCAACTCCACACTCGACATTGAACTCTTTTTTCAATTCCCAGGAGGGCATACCCACAACGGTTCACGAGAGGGGTGGGGGGCATACTCACAGCGGTTACCGGCACTTGCAGGCAAGTGTATTGCTTGGCGCAGAAGAGTATCCCAAAGGGGCCCGAAAGTTGCGTGCGAGGCTTTCCTGACTGCTTGATCTAGACGTAGCCTGTGCTCCTACATGCTTCAAGAGGGCCTCTGAGAGGGGTGCCTTGTGCTGAGATGATCGTCACGTCCCTCCTACCCCCTGCGTTTTTTTGTTTGCAGAGGCCCGCCCCCCTTGTTTGTGCAGGGGTGAACTTGGGGGGGTGGCTGTAAGCTTTGCCCAATCTGGCAGGGCGAGCGAGCGACCACCACTGCGGACAGACGCCCGGGCGTCTCCAAGACCAGGTGGAGGAGGCTGTGGCCTCGGGAATCCTCCGCACACGGTGGTGGCATTGGATAAGGAAACCTTCGATGAGAAGTCCAGGGTCTGGAAGCCAGTGGAACTCCAGTCGTGGATTGGCCATGGAATTCACCGCCGCCCTCATCAGATACGGAACCCTCCAGGGTCTGAAGCCTCCTGGGCACGTTCCTTATCGAACGCCCCCACCGTATACCGTGCCGCGCGAAACACATGTAGAACAAGCTTCGAGAACTACAAGGAAGAGTGGAGACGAGGGATGCCTGTCCTTGAAGGGGTGGGAAGGGGCCGGAAGGGGGGGTCTCGGCAGTGCCAGGCCACTTGCAAGCCTGTTTGATGGCAGCGGCGCTGCACATCGCCGCTGCGGAGTTGCGTGGGCTTGCTCTTCGGACCCTTGCACTGGGGCGCCGCCCAGCCGCGCCCCCGCAGGACACCCAACGCTCCTGAGAATCCCACGGGGCCCTCCAGGGCTGCCCAGGGCCCTCCTGCCCTTCCCAGGTCTCCCCAGTGCCCAAGACATCCAGCGCTTCGCAGCACTCTCCAGCGCCCGCCAGGACCCCATGGCACGCCCCCCCCCGCCGCGATACCCAGCACTATTGACGTTCACCCCCGCCATCACTTCCCAGGACAACCCAGGATTCCCCTGTGGCACATCGTGCGGCTGATGTCGGCGGGGGTGCATGTGCCGATTGTCATTCGCGTGGACAGTTTCGATGCTGTTGCATGGGCTGTATTGGCGTTGACAATTTCGCGGCTGCTGCGTGGTGCGTTGCCATTGTCGTTGAGAGATTCAGGGCTGCTGCGTGGGCCGTTGGCATTGCCGTTGAAAATATGTTGGCTGTTTTAAGCCTTGTCTTCCATCGTTCTTGGGCTGCTGCAGGGGCTCGCTACTGTTGGCAATTGTTGCTTCTGGAGGTAAGCCCGAACTTGCCAGCGACCGTGGCCACGACCCGTGCATCACCCCCGAAATTGCCAACGGCAGCGGAAACGGTCCATGCGGCAAGCCCGAAATCACAGCGGCCACGCCAACGGCCCACGCAGCAGCCCCACATCCCCCGACGCCAATTGCAGTGCCCCACACAGCAACGGCGATTCTCTCGACGCCACTGGCAGCGCTCCACGCGGCAACTAATGCCAATAACGAATTTGTCAATACTCGCTTGCAGCACCCGCGGCAGTGTCAACGCCCTCTCCCAACTCTGTCTCAGCGGTAGCGAAAGTAGCATGGTTTTTTCCCAACGCTATTTCAGCGGCTGCGAAAGTCGTAATGCTCTTTCCCAGTGCTGTTTTTTGCAACACTTTTTTGAAAAGCATTCTCAACACATTAGCTGTTGTGGTACATCGTGGTACAAGGCTGCAGATTCCATCTGAGGACTAGAGGAAGCATGGGGAAAAGTGGCGGCGGAGGGGGGAACTGGAGGGGAAGCGGCCGAGCAATCAAAGGCGAGCGGCCTCGACAAACGCCGTGGTGGCAAGTCCACCCAACATGACAGCCAGTCTTTCTGATGTGGGACGCTGGGCTCGGAGGGCAGAAGGGGTGGGCTGGGTGGAGAAACAGGAAGGAAGAGGCGCTCGTGAAACAAATAATCATGACTGGGGATGGGGAGCGGAAGAAGGATGGTGCGATGGGGGGCGGAGAGGGAAAGGGATGAGGACAGGTAGGATGGGGGGGAACGGCGAGGGGGATCGGAAGGAGGCGGCGAGGGGGGATGGGGAGGGCGAGGGGGAAAGCGGGCGAGACATCGAATTGGTGAGTGCAGGGGTTGTCCCTGGACCTCTTCATGGCGCTCTGCCAATAGATGAAGTAACTGTCCGAGGGGTCCCAGAAGGTCACGCGGCCCTGGACCACCTCGCGCGGTAATCTCTTATCACTGTCCGTAGTTCCCCTTCTTTCCTTCTCTGTACTGGTGAGGAACGAAATATGTACCTTGCCGTCAAGCAGCTTGAACGACGCAGACTTGGCTCCCCAAACAGTGACCCTGTGCCCTATAGACATATGGTGTGCGATCTACGGGGCTCTATCTCGTAAGGCCCGATCGTGTGAAACCATGTCGGAAGGAGGTCCTATCGTGAGACCCCATCGCGTGGGACCTTCTCGCACGGCGCGGGCGCCCTTAGTGTGTGAGACCCCGTCATGTGTGATCCTACCGCGTGGGACCCTAGCGCGTGGGACCCTGCTGCGTGTGACCCTGTCGCGTGGGATCCTATCGTGACGGACCCCGTCTCGTGGGACTCTGTCGCGTGTAAAGGGCTATCTCCTGGGACCCTACAGTGTGGGAGCCTCCTGGTTGAGACCCGCTCGTGTGGGACTCTCCCATGTGGCAACCTAGCGTGTGGAGCTCTGTCGTGTGGGATCAGATCGTGTACAGCCAGGCCAAAGGCTTAATACATCCTTCAAGAGCATGAGACCCTCAGCCGGCCAAAACAACCCCAAACATTATATCACCGAGGGCAACCTCCCCCAGGATGCAAAAGACCATACGACAAACACGAAGACCACTCAGGTACCCTCCCCGAACCGACCTCGATCTTATACTTCGGTCTGGCCGTCTGACCCTGTCGGTTGGGACCCTACGATGTGTGGAACCCCACGTTGTGGGACATTCCCTTGCGGGAACCAGTCTCATGCGGGACTGTTGAAGGTCCCAACGATGACGGGCTTATAACCGCTGGGAGCATACCAAAATCTCCCCTCACAGCCAAGAGCCCCTACGTGCCATCACTGATTGGGGCATTGGGGACGAGCCGCGTCTCAAGTCACGCAGCGACCCCCTGCTGTGCCCGTCTGGCGACTCAATGCTTTCGAGTCGAATGTCTCTTGGACATCTCGACCCCTTTGACAGGGACAACTTCTCGTTCAGAGTACTTGTTCGACTGTCCAAGGCACAGAAACGATGTGCAAACGACGAAACCTGTGAAAACTTGTTGGTCGCGAGGCTGGCGGACACCCAACGCGGTCGGAACAACGACCGAGGCAAAGGAACCGCGAATCGAGCACACAACGGACAAGCGAAGAGGACGGCCGCAGAAAGGGGGTGAGAAACGTGAACCAGAATACAACCCTGGAGGTTGGAGGTCTGGGGGAGCCAGCCGCCTCGTAAACCACACGGATTACGCTGGGATTCCCTGCAACGCCCCCGTGGATAAGCTCAAAAGAAGACAACGGAGCCACGTTCGAACACAAAGAAGTCCTTACCTCGACGGTCCGACTGCAAGGCAAGGCGATTGAGAGCTCAAGCATGTTAAATGCAATCTTATGGTACACCGTCCATCTATATAGAACTTCGTGGGCCCCCCTTCAAGTCCAGCACCCAGGACTACTGATTTTCTGTGGGGAGCCCTGGCATTCAGCAGGCGGAGTGCCTGGCTGTAGAATAAAACGGCTGATGATGCTGATGAGGATGGCAATGAGGATGAGGAGTGGGGAGTGGGAACGACAGGATGCTAATGCAAATGCTGGTGATGATGACGATCAGGAGGACGAATACGAGGAAACGGATGCTGGTGTTGATAATAGTGATGATGATGGTGGTGTCGATGAGGAGGAGAAGGATGATGACACATGGTAGTATCACAATGATGATGGAGGCGATTACGACGCCAAAGAGGGCCAGGGCACCGAGGATGCCGATGATTCTTCTGCTGATGATGATGACGAATGCAGAGGGGGAGCACGTGGATGAGGACGGCACCTCGTCTGGCCTCTCGACGTACTGTGTGTTCAACTCCTGCTTACCGAACCCGCTCAGCTCGACCTTCAGGCCCTTCGAGCACGTCGATATCACCGCGGTCTCTACCTTCCTCCACTCTCCCCCCGTTCCCAGAGCATGAAGGAACCAAGAACGGGGTCCTGGAAATGGTTGGCCGTTTTCGGCCCCCAGGGGCCCTCCACGGACCCCAAGACCATCAGAGAACCACCCCAGGATGAAGAGTTGGTCCTGGGGGCAGCCCCAGGATCTTGGACGCGTTTCCCTCAGGATCCCTTTCATGCCTCCATGGAGAGCCCTCCTCCGCCCTCATCCAGGAAGATTCGGCTACACGCAAGAGTGACACTGGATAAGAGTGACCTTTGGTGCGCGGTTTTCTAGGTGCCGCGGAGGGACCAAACTGGGACCAACCACAAGCGCGCAAGACGCTACTATCCCATCAAGTTCGGCGATTGGGGGACCCGAGTGGGCCGGCACCAAGGGTCACTCCGGCGAGGGGTCACTCTTACGTGCAGACGAGAGATCCATACTGGGTCCCCGAGATGTCCCGACCCCTTCCCCCGGGCCAGCTTTTCGACCCGAGCCGTCTTTCTGCCGTCCTGGGGTCAGGTGAGGGTTCCCCGGTGGGCGGCGCGCCCAGGGGGGAAGTTGAGGGGGGGCGGGCCTTCTCAGAAGGCCGGAATGAACTCTGGCCTTCTGAGAAATTGTCTCAGCCCTCCTGGGAAACGCAGAAAACCGCTCAGAAGGCTGAAGGCCTTCTGGGAAGCCCCGCCGCACTCGTCGAGTAGGGGATCGACTACAGAATTGATTGACCCCAACATTCATTTCTTTGTCGAATCTACGAGAAATACGCAGGATGCTTCGAGGTCTACGGAACATTCCACGCACTTCTCGTAGATCCGACGGCAAAATGAATTTCGGGGTAAACCAATTCTGCAGTCGATCCCCTTTTCGAGCCCCGAGTAGGCCCGCTCCTTCTCGCTTCCCCCCCTCGCTCGCCGCCGCGACGCGAGGCCGAGAACGGCGAGAGAGCGCGGCACTTTGTGCGCCAGTGCGCCGTCGCCCTGGCGGGCCAGGCTTCGCACCCAGGGGGCCCCACATCCAGCAAACTCCTCCCTTCTCTTTCCCCCCCTCCTCCCCCTCCTCCTCCTCCTCCCTCCTCCTCCTCCTCCTCCCTCCTCCTCCTCCCTCCTCCTCCTCCTACCCTGCTCTCCCTCCTCCTCCTCCTTCTCCTCCTCCCCTCCTCCTCCCTCCTCCTCCTCCAATCCTCGTCTCCCTCCTCCTCCTCCTCCTCCTCCTCCTCCTCCTCCCCATTTTCTCCAGCGCCGGCCCCTCCCCCGGAAAGCTCAAGCATGCTCAAAAAACTGGCCCTCCAGAGAAGTCCCCCTCCTCCTGCTCCTCTGGCGCCCCCATCCTCCCGCACCTTCGCGTCCGTCCACTCGCTGTCTCTCATCTCCACCCAGCCGCAGGCGTTGGCAAAGTGCCCCGAGTCGCGCCGGTACGCCCAGCCGGGGCACTGGCCCTCCCGGACCGCCTCGATGCACTTGAGGTCGCAGATGGCCCACCTCGCGGGGGGCCAGGAGCCAACATCTGGGCAGCGAGCCTTCGGGCGTCCCAGGGCAGCCACAACCAGGGGGAGCTGTGGGCCTTCCTATAGGTTGCGGACCCCTCGGCTTCGACACCCCTCGAGAGATCGTCGATATGATGCCGCGTCGGTTGTTCTCGACGCGCCCAATGTGGGCGACGCCGACGCCACGGCAAACCCGCGGCAGACCCTGCGTCCCGCGCGCGAGGAGACGCAGTTGGCGCCGCTGCAATCCCGCGGCAAATCCACCGCGCCCGAGGCGGCGTTTGCCAGGCGTCCTCACCCAATACCTGAGGCCGCATGTCGGAACAAACAGCGTGGCGACATAGGACGGGTCCCCCCGTGCGTCCGCAGGCGCTCATTCTGCCGGCCCTGGGCCCCATCTTCACATCCCGTCCAGGGTGCGCGCCAGGGGTGGCGCCGAGAGCGCTAGCCAGGGTTTCGGGGGCGGAGCCAGGACGCCGGAGCGTCTGTGCTTGCGGGATCTCTTGGCTTCTCCGACCCCTGACATCCGCCAAAACTTACGCAGGCCGAAAGATTTTCCTCTGGAGCCCCAAACGTCGGAAGCGACGTGCCCCTCAGGTGAGCGGATACATGTACCCCCCTCCTCGTGCCTCCTCACTCCTCCTTCCACTCTCCACTCTTCGTCCTGGGAAGACCCCCCCCTCCCCGTAGAATCATAGCTTTGGTCAGCAGGTCCATACATCCGTGGATACCATGGTGCTTCACGCGTGGTGCCCCGCGGATCCCATTTTCCCTGGGTCTGGGATGCTACTAATTATATATAAACATTCCCGAAAAATGAATGGATCTGTTCGTTTTCCACACACGGGAAATTGGATCCGCGCAAGACAGAAATAAGATCCACGACACTGTCGCATACCCGAAAAGGGATCCAATTGGATCAATCGGTGTTCTCATATTGTAGTCGCATGAGAAAACAACTCTCGGCCTGGGGATGCACGTATGCGTCTTTCAATCCGCGGCCGCAAAAGACCAGACCGCTTTCCCGAGGGATTTCTTTCGTCGCGGATCCGTTTTTGATGGTCCCGCACTCGCGGGGCCGATGACGATAACGGCCCCCGAAGGCCGACATCGAGAAAAACATCCGGATTGAACAAACTCACATCGCTGGAGGTCTGGGACCTCCTCATCTGCTGCTGCCAGTATAAGAAGTACACGCCAGAGGGGTCCCAGTAGCTGGGCTTGCCCTGCAGCATCTCCGACGGCCTCAGCAGGTAGCGGGCGCTGAGCTCCCGCATGGCGAATCCCCGGAACTCCACGGCGCTCACGGCCTGCTGCGCCGTGGGGTCCTCCCACTGGGGCTTGTGGCCCGCTGCCGACCTGAGGGGATCAGGCCTGCCAGACAACCGATCTTCCAGGAGCTCGTCTTCGAGGTAGGGGCTGGCAAGAGAACACCAAGCAACGATGGTTTCAAAGTAGGGGCTGGCCAGAGAAGACCAAGCAGCGACAGCAAAGCTTCGGGTTCGCACAGACAGCCCCCCGCGAAGTAGTCCAGGCCAGTCTCAACGCCCTGGCTGGCGCCGCCTACGGCGTCGTCCCTGGGGCGCGGAGCGCCCCTGGGTTGAGATGTTGAGACCACCCTGGACTGCTCGGGGGGCTTGTTGAGGCCAGCCAGGACTACCTCGGGGGGCTGTCTGTGCGCAGCCCGAAGAAAGCCTTACCAAGAAACGGCGTAATACACTTGCAGAGGTCCGCGCGGAGCTCTTGGCGCTGAACCCTCTCTGCCCACGGCGTGCTTCGCGCACCAGGGACGGGGGGTCCAGCGTCGACCAAGAACTCTGCACGGCCCTCCGAAAAGATACGGTCGGGAACACTTGCTTCGCGTGTCGGGGCGCCGGCCCCCGCGACACGCTATGCCCAGCGAGCTGGCAGCGTGTCGCTCCGCTCTGCGGGGAGGGGGGCTGGGAAACGCTCCGGACGTTGGCGCCTTGGGATTGGGGACGTGACTAGCGTGTCGCGCCGAAGCGTGGTGGGCCAGAAACGGCGGCGCGACACGCCAAGCCGCAGTTCCCGAGCGTAGTTTTTTCCGTGGAGGAGAAGAGGCTGACGACTTCAGCGGCCGGCCTTCGGTGAAGGGGCCCAGGGACACACAGATAGTTAAGCAGACACAAATTCCAGGATGCCCCACACTTTCTGGATGCTCGTCTTCCTCTTCCATCTCTCCTATGTTCAAGATCTTCGTGGCCATCGAGGATTATTGCATGTTTTTCCCAACCATCCTGTGGTGTTGGGTCCTCGTTTTGAAGAGACAGCGCCCCGCGTCTCCTCTCCTCTCCTCTCCTCTCCTCCTCCTCCTCTCCACCCTCCTCCCATCGCCGTCATCATACTCATCGTCATCATCATCATCATCATCATCATCATCGTCATCATCCTCATCTTCATCATCATCATCCTCGTCATCATCACCACCAGCATCATCATCGTCATCATCATCGCCATTAGTTCCCAACCATCCTGTCATCATCACCACCAGCATCATCATCGTCATCACCAACAGCATCATCATCGTCATCATCATCATCATCATCATCATCATCATCATCATCATCATCATCATCATCATCATCATCATCATCATCATCATCATCATCATCATCATCATCATCATCATCATCATCATCATCATCATCATCATCATCATCATCATCATCATCATCATCATCATCATCGCCATCGCCATTAGTTCCCATTTCCGCACACCCCTCACACGTTTCGTGGCCCCATAGGGAGCTCCACCGAAGGCCCCAGTGGCAGGGTTCGCATGCCGCCCCCACCCCACTTTGGCACACCCCTCACACGTTTCGTGGCCCCATAGGTAGCTCCACCGAAGGCCCCAGTGGCAGGGTTCGCATGCCGCCCCCACCCCACTTTGGCACACCCCTCACACGTTTCGTGGCCCCATAGGTAGCTCCACCGAAGGCCCCAGTGGCAGGGTTCGCATGCCGCCCCCGCCCCACTTTGGCACACCCCTCACACGTTTCGTGGCCTCATAGGGAGCTCCACCGAAGGCCCCAGTGGCAGGGTTCGCATGCCGCCCCCATCTCACTTTGGCACACCCCTCACACGTTTCGTGGCCCCATAGGGAGCTCCACCGACGGCCCCAGTGGCAGGGTTCGCATGCCGCCCCCACCCCACTTTGGCACACCCCTCACGCATTTCGTGGCCCCATAGGGTGCTCTACCGAAGGCCCCCGTGGCAGGGTTCGCATGCCGCCCCCACCCACTTTTGCACACCCCTCACACGTTTCGTGGCCCCATTGGGAGTTCCACCGACGGCCCCAGTGGCAGGGTTCGCATGCGTCCGCGCCACCCATGTCGACACACCCTTGACACGTTTCGTGGCCCCATAATGAGCTCCACCGAAGGCCCCAGTGGCAGAGTTGGCATGCCGCCCCTCGCCCATTTCGGCCCACCCCTCACACGTTTCGTGGCCCCATAGGGAGCTCCACCGAAGGGGCCCCAGTGGTTGCGTTCGCATGCGTCCCCACCACCCATTTCGGCACACCCCTCATACGTTTCGTGGCCCCATAGGGAGCTCCACCGAAGGCCCCAGTGGCTCCCCACCACCCATTTCGGCACACCCCTCACACGTTTCGTGGCCCCATAGGGAGCTCCACCGAAGGCCCCAGTGGCTGCGTTCGCATGCCTCCCCACCACCCATTTCGGCACACCCCTCACACGTTTCGTGGCCCCATAGGGAGCTCCACCGAAGGCCCCAGTGGCAGGGTCCGCATGCCTCCCCACCACCCATTTCGGCACACCCTTCACACGTTTCGTGGCCCCATAGGGAGCTCCACCGAAGGCCCCAGTGGCGCGGTGCCTATGAGAAGAAGGGGCCTAGTTTGCGTGCCCCCTCCTTCGTCTCATATCCGTGCGGTACACGCAGCTGCATATGGTTGGGTCCTTCGCCAGGCTAATTCCCTCATATATCTGATCAGCCTTACCATTGGGACTGGCCTGCCTCCCTGCTATCGGACTCGCGCTGCGCGAATGGGCACGTGTGGCAGGGGGAGCGGCCTTCCAAGAAGGCGCCGGGGCCTCTCAGAAGCCAACGTCGACGACGACAGCGGCCTCGACGACGACCGCAGCGACAACAACGACCACAACCACGACGACGACGCAGACGACGACGGCGCGGACGACTTCGACGACGACGGCGCGGACGACTCCGACGACGACGACGACGACGACGACTGTGGACGACTGCGATGACGACGACGACAGCGTAGGTCCGATCCTGGCGAAGACCCCGGTCTTCTCAGAAGGCCGACCCCCTCGCCCCGCCCCGCTCCCCAGATCTCCTGCGTCGCACTGCTCCGGATGCGTGCAGAACGACGTGGTTCAACCCCTGCCCCTGGGCCAGGTGTCCACCCCAGACCGTTGCCGAATGGTCTCTGCAGGCCCAGGAGCGGCCCCGGGAGGTCGAACATCGGTGATAGTGGGGGGCCCCAAAGCCGTGCGGTGACAGAACGCGCGGGGACCTCGGGACCCCAAAAGACCTCACCGCGCGGTCCGTCACCGCACGGTTGTGGGACCCTGGCGGCCCCCGTCGCCCGAGACGTCCTCCGGGAACGACCCGAGTCCCAAAACGGTGCGGTGATCTGACTCAGCACACGACGTGGTCACCACACCGGGGCCCCCGCGAAAGAAAAAACGCTGGCAAGGGCGATAGACGGAGACACGTGCTGCAGGGGGAGGGGCCTTCCAAGAAGGCGCCGGGGCCTCTCAGAAGCCAACGTCGACGACGACAGCGGCCTCGACGACGACCGCAGCGACAACAACGACCACAACCACGACGACGACGCAGACGACGACGGCGCGGACGACTTCGACGACGACGGCGCGGACGACTCCGACGACGACGACGACGACGACTGTGGACGACTGCGATGACGACGACGACAGCGTAGGTCCGATCCTGGCGAAGACCCCGGTCTTATCAGAAGGCCGACCCCCTCGCCCCGCCCCGCTCCCCAGATCTCCTGCGTCGCACTGCTCCGGATGCGTGCAGAACGACGTGGTTCAACCCCTGCCCCTGGGCCAGGTGTCCACCCCAGACCGTTGCCGAATGGTCTCTGCAGGCCCAGGAGCGGCCCCTGGAGGTCGAACATCGGTGATAGTGGGGGGCCCCAAAGCCGTGCGGTGACAGAACGCGCGGGGACCTCGGGACCCCAAAAGACCTCACCGCGCGGTCCGTCACCGCACGGTTGTGGGACCCTGGCGGCCCCCGTCGCCCGAGACGTCCTCCGGGAACGACCCGAGTCCCAAAACGGTGCGGTGATCTGACTCAGCACACGACGTGGTCACCACACCGGGGCCCCCGCGAAAGAAAAAACGCTGGCAAGGGCGATAGACGGAGACACGTGTGGCAGGGGGAGGGGCCTTCCAAGAAGGCGCCGGGGCCTCTCAGAAGCCAACGTCGACGACGACAGCGGCCTCGACGACGACCGCAGCGACAACAACGACCACAACCACGACGACGACGCAGACGACGGCGGGAGGTCTCGGCCAGCTCCCGGGGCCTGAAGCAGACCTCGATCTCCGGCTCCCGCCACGAGCCGTCCCAGGCCTCCATCCAGCCGGCGGCCCCCGACAGGTGCCGGTGGTCCTGCTTGTAGGCCCAGCCGGGGAGCTGGCCGGCCCGGACCGCCGCCAAGCTGCCGACGTCGCAGATGGACCACCTATTGGCAGGGACAGCTGGGAGAGGTCCACTGCTCCTGCTCTTCCTCTCCCTCCTCCTGCTCCTCCCTCCCTCGCTCTCCCTCCTCCTCCCTCCTCCCTTCTCCTCCCGTCACTTCGGCCGGGCAGGCGATATGGGCCGCCGTCGCCGCCGCCGCTAGAGCAGCAGCAGCAGCAGCGGCAGCGGCAGCGGCAGCAGCAGCAGCAGGCCACGGTACGCTGGCACTGCCCGTGCTGTGCCAAGTGATTATGCTGACATAGGGGGGGGGGCACGAGTCCACACTTGCAGTCGCCTCACCGTTTTGCCTCGTGCTGACAGTGGAAGACGGACTGCCAGCAAAGTCCGAGGCACCTGCAGCAACAACGCCCCTCCCCAAGGGGGGCTTCAGGAGAAGGGTGGGTGTCCTGGCTGTGCGAGCGGCTGGGCCCCTGACGCAGCTGGCAACATACAGCTGGCCATCGCTCGGACGTCCATTTCCTGTGTTTTTTTCGGTTTCGTGCGTGGTTTTTTGCCAAATGATCGGGATGCTCCTCGATGGTCCCCACCGAGGAAAAAATGCACACGTCCGAGCGATGCCAAGACAGTGGCGGTAGCTACTGACGAACTCCGAGGCCCGAGAAGCCGTGCTTGACTGTGGCGACGCGTTGGGCGCCCGCTCCGAGGCCTTGCGGGCGACGACGGAGCTCCAGCAGCCAGTGCAGCGAGAGCCGGACCCCCCGGACTGGTGCGCCCTGGACCAGTCAGGACCGGAGAGTACAGTGGCACCTCCACCTCCTCCGTGTCGTGGAGGACCGGGGAGGGCAGAGGCGCTCAAACTGTGCTGTGGGGTGCGCCGCCGTGGCGACACCCAGGACTGTCTCCAGAGCTCCACGGCGTATACACACAGAAGTGCACGCGACGGTCCAGATCACCGCATTGAGCATTGACGCGGCGATGGACTCCGACGGGTGCGACCTGATGAAGTTCCAACGCTTGGCAATTTTCACGGACGCGATCCACTCGAGACAGGTGTTCATCAACGGCGGCGGCTCGCCTTGTCAAACGTGGAGTGCGGCAAGATGGTCGGACCAGCCAGGGCCACCACCGTTGAGCAAACACAAGGCCTACTGGAGCATCGCCAGCGCGACGCCGAGGCAGATGCTGCAGCTTCAGTTGGGCAACGTGCTGCTGCAGGCGATGGTGCTGCTGATGTGCCGCGCTCACCTGCGAGCAAGCTCGGCGGCATGGTTGGAGCACCCAGGTCCCGGCCGCACTGCTCATCGTGGGACTATGAGTGAGAGACCTGCACCTGCGCCTCACCGCCACACCAGGTGGAGGGCGCTGCTCGCATGGACGAGGGGTCCACACCACTAGAATTCTACTGAAGGCTTGGGAGGGGGGGAAGGTTCGCACGGCGGCCAAGTTGGTCTACCCCCGGCCTTTGTGAGGCCCTGGCCGAGGCCATGATCGATACGGTCTCGGATTTCACTTCCCTGGAGCTCAGCGCCGATGATGAAGGCGTGCACTCTGGCTCCGAAAGGTCAGGGGGACTTTCTCGAGACTTCGGCCTCGGAGGCGTGCCGGTTCTTCTGCAGGCGCGCCTGGAGCTCCCGGGGGGAGGGGGAGAGGGAGGGGGAGGGGGAGGGGGAGGGGGAGGAGGAGGAGGAGAAGGAGGAGGAGGGGGAGGAGGAGGAGGAGGAGGAGGAGGAGGAGGAGGAGGAGGAGGAGGAGGACCTTTGGACCTTTTGCGCAGCACAGCGTGCTAAAAAAGGAGGAGGGGAAAACAGAGGGAGGAGGCCAAGCACCTGCACCCAAGGTGGCTACTCCGTAGCAGCCACCCCCAGCGCCTTCTCCTCCCCGCAAGGGGAAGAGGGCGCGTGGGAGGGTACAGGGCTTGGTTTCCTGGCACGCTGTGCTGTCTCCCCGGCGACGCATGCGTCCACTAACCTCGCATGCGAAATCGCTTGCGAGGCCTTAGAAGGCCCCGCATAGCTCGGAAACAGCCCGCGTTTAATTCGGCCGAGATTCTCTCGGCCTTTGCGAGTGGGGGGCCCGCAACCTTCGGCCAAATGGCGACCGTCAACGGTCGCGGTCCGACCACATCTGAAACAAAAATGCAAGGAATGCAAGTCCCAGAATCCCAGACGGTGGGAGGGGTCGAGCTCCAGCCCACCAACAGCGACGCCACAACGAGCCGCGGCCACCACGTCCCGAGGGAACCCAGGAGGGACGACCAGCGGCGAAAAGCACTCCGTCTTCAGGGCCTCTAAGAGGCCCTGTCGGGACGAAAGAACAGAGCACAGTTGGCACCTGAAACGGGACCCGACAGGAATAAATCTGTGAGAGCTGGCCCTGGCCGCGTGCTCAAGGCGTCGGGTCTCGGCGGTCTTCGGCCTAGGCCGCTCGATCTCCGTCGGGGCCTTGGCACGCTTGGGGTCCGCCGAAGAGGCGTCTGCCAGAGCCCGCCGAGCCCTTCGACGCACCAGAGCAGCGGTGAGGTCCCGGGCGTCTGTGGCGGGGACAATCTGGGCGGCCAAAGTCCAGGAGCGCTCAGCGGCTTCAGAAGCCGCTTCGTCGGCTAACTGATTACCACTGGCAAGAAAAACTTCGTGATGGGAGAGGGAGGAGTCGTCAGGGGACAGGTGCGAGGGCGTCCATTCGACCGAGACATGCCCTGGGCCTCGGTCGTCGATGGCGCAACGAATTCGCAGCCACAGATCGCTGTTCCTCCCCCCCAAGCTCCAAGGTCGGCCCCGACTCCACCCCGTCATGAGAGGCTTGTGGTCCGTCACAAAATGGACAGGACCAGTGGTGCTGTCCAGAAAGAGGGCGAAAGCCTGCAGCTCCGACCTGGGCACCGTTTGCGAGGGGCCTCGCAAAATCTCGGAGATGCCCCCCAAGACGGCCCAACGCAAAGGTCCCTCCCCAGGTCGAGCGTCCCTGACCACAACGACAGCGGAGCCGCAACGACGGCGACGAGGGTCGGACGAAAAGCGTCCTCCAGATCCGTCCCCGAAGCCGATCAACGGGCTGCTGCCAGGGTCTCTAGAGCAGGCTCCAAGAGGGACCTCACCTAGTTGGGCTCTGCTCAGGCTCTCCAGCGGCTCCCTGAAAACAGGGTGGGTGACACGGGTAGGCGGAACACCTCTCAGCCAAAGGCTTGGTTCAGATTCAACAGACGCTAACGCTTGCGGAATCAAATGATCAGTCGACGTGAAATCACTGTGATCTTTATTGCAGGGGCAACGCCAGATGCGATGCGCAAGAGTTTCTTCCTCCTGCTGGCATCGCGGACACAGGCGGTCAGCGGGCTCACTCAGAGGGTGCTGCCTGTCCATCGTCCACTGGGCGCCCGTGACCACGCACAAATTGAGGCCGAACAGGTCGAGCTCCCCCTTCTTGGCGAAGTGGCTGAGCTCCAGCCTGGCCCAATAGAGGTCAGCTCCCTCAGCCAGGCCATCACCTGCCATGTGCTTCGACGCATTGCTCCAAAGCTGAGCGCGAAAATCAGTGACCACGTCGTCCAGCAGCTCGGAGATGTCGAACCCAGTGGGGTCGTAGCCTGCACGTCGTGCGGTTGGGATCAGCCACTCCTCGATTCCTCCGACAGTGGGCCTCCTCCAACGTAGAACCGAGGGTACTTCCCATCCCGCGTCAAGCAAAGTCGCAATGACAGCTCCAATCGGTCCTTTGACCAGTCTCCATCTTTTGTTGGCGCCAACTGCCAGAAGCCGCCGATGAATGACAGTCCAAGCATTTTCAACTCGATGGTGAATGCTGGTGTCGGTCTTCCAGAGACAGAGAAATTCTGAAAGAAGGCCTCGTCGTAACTCCAGGGCTGGATCCTTGAGACCGTAAAGGACCGCCAGTGTTGTCGTAAGACACCTGCCCTTCATGGGCCCAGCTCCAGCCAAGGCTGCCTGCCGCCTGACGGCGAGGACGTTGGACGGCGACATGCCATGGGCCTGGTGCCCGTAGGGGCCTTGAGGAGCTGCGCCTGTGGTCCAAAGACCCTGAGCTTCGCGCCGTAGAGGAGCATGTCTGCGTATGCGGGCAATGCGAGCCGCCCTCTTCCTGCTGGCAATCAACCTCATTCTGGCCTTAGCGACTGTGCGCCGTTTGCCAGAGGCTGCGTCGATGCCAAGATCCGTGCCGTGAAGACCGAACCGTACAGGGATACCCCGCTTCTGCAATTGAGCGGCTGTCCTCCGCCCGTCCTGCGGAACGGTGGCAATGAGCACAGACTTGTCCGAAAGCTTGAGACGGAATTGCTTGGCGAGGTCGGCCAGAGTGACCGTAGCGTGAAGGATCTCTGTCTGGACCTTGGCCTGCGTGCCCTCTGCGCGGGCCACAGTGTCATCGATGAAGGTCCAGAAGGTGCTGAAACTCGCTCTGCGATGTGCCGCCTCCATCAATGGATGTAAAAACAACTTGGCAATCCTTACCCCATGCGGGGATCCTGCAACAAGTGACCTGGTGGCGTAGATGGCGTCTGTAACGCCAAGAGAGCCACGCAGGAACCGCGGCCGAGCACACATCTCCAACTCCAGCAACACCACAATCGCTGGGAACTTGGGGTCGAGTGCAGCCTGGCCGATGAGGATCCAGGACAACGAGTCGTAGAACTTCTCGAAGTCCAGGAGGAGGGTCGCCGCCGAGATGCCAAGCGCCACTGCGGATTCATCGAGCAGCGCTCGCAAGAGTCCTGCTCGAAGCGAGCTGCTGCCCGCCACTGCAGTGCCCCAGAAATCAGAGAGCTCCTTAGTCCATGTGGACGTGACGCCTGCTCTCACGCGGGACCATATCTTTGCCGTCTCTGGAAGTAATCCAATGACCCTCTCTCCTCCTTTGGGTTTGGGTAATAATGCTCCAATAGATGCCAAGATCTGAGCAGGCCACACTCCATGTTCTTCAATACTGTTGAGAAGCCTGCAGTAATCACACCGACCTTCGAGTGGGAGTCGCTGGATGTCCAGCGGTGTGATGGAGTCAACTCCGCATGCCTTGGTGCCTCAAACCCTG